TTACAGTTGGGCACAGGGTGGGGACCTAGGTCTCGACTCTCTTGTGCAGATGGATGCACTGATAGTAAAATGGACTCTATAACTACCAAGGACATTGAGGCATTTTGCCAGGAGCTCAACAGTGCCAGAGATGATCTTGGGCCATTCTTCATAAGACTCGAATAAAGGAAGGAAGGGGTGAGTTCTATGATTACAAAAGCAGGTCTCCCTCCCTAGGGCTGCATGGTACTAGAGAGGGCAGGGTAAGGGCCTGAGTAGGCTGGTAAGAAGGCCGCACTCACCTTGTAGAGCTGGGATGGCCTTCCACACAGACACTGGCCCCTGGCTGGCAAACTGGCCCAGGGATACCTCTAAGAAGAAGATGGGCAGTCCAGCTAGAGCCAGCATCATCAGGTAAGGGATGAGGAAAGCACCTTGAAAAGAGAATGGGAAGTGAGAGCCCTGGGAGGCAAAGGCAGGGCTCTGGCCCACCTTAACCCACTGGGTTGGGGGCTGGCCTCCCTCTCAATGAACTAAAGATAATTTAGCTCCTTTACTGAAGAAGCTTTTGATATTCCAGGCCAACGACAGGCACCCATGGACATCTAAGAGCCCTTCTCCAAAAAGTATAAGGATACCCATGCAAATACACTCCTTGTTTCAATTCCCCACCACACAGACTGCTAGAGGTTCTGTGCTGGTGGAGCTGTATTCTTCATAGCACTTCACCTCCACCAAGTTAATCCCCCTAGGGTTCAACAAATCCATGCCTTTGACTCCCTACTGAAGCAGATTTGGTGAAATCTCATCAAGCCTCGGCCCCCCCAAGGACGTAGTATCTTCTAAGCTGGATTCTAGAAGCCCTCTTCTACAGTACCCCAAGTTATCTATCTGCACATTTTCTGCCAACCAGGGTTGGGCCTGTTCTGCCAGACAGGCAGCCAGGATACCCACCCCTCTCTCCACCACAACCACCATCACACACTTCTCAACTTCCTTCTCCATGTGAGAAATCCCTCCCATCCTTCAAGGTCAACTCAGATGCTTCCTCCTCTAGTAAGTCTCCCTTCTCTGTCCTCCCACGGTACTTTTCCCCAGGCACTGATCACTTGATAATATTTATGTGTCTAGACTCTGAGTAGTTTACCCTGCATCTCTTAATTCCCCAGAACACCCAGCCCAGGGCAATAGTACTTGGTAGGTCTCTACAGATTTGCTGAGTCTTCTCTAGGGTTCTCTCCGTTCAAGGATTCTTTGAGGCTGTTTGGGAGGGGCTTGGCGAATTGCCATGATCTTTGAAAAGAGTCCGGCCAGGAAGTGCTGTTGCATGGGTCAGAGTCAATTTGGAGACTAGAGATGGCAAAACCCAGAACGCTGTGCTCGGCAAAAGGAAACCTGATCTGTCTCTAGTCTGCCCTTTCCCACCCTTCTCCCAGCTTCCTGTCGGGTGGAAGGACCTTTCCCGTCCCAAGCTCTCCAAGCGAGGAAGGCCCAGCAGCAGCCAAGGGCTGCTGGGGAGTGAAACCGGGGACCCTGTTTTATCCTCTCCTGACAGGGTTTACAACAAAGACGTGGACTGTGCAATCCCTCTCCTCTGCTCCTGGGAAAGACGGGGCGAGCTCTCCACCCGGCACTGACAGCTGCAGGGCCCCGGAGTCGCAGTGCGCAAAAGGCTGCCTCCCGCTTCTGCGCCCGGCTCCGCCCGGACCCCGGGCACCGCTCGGCCGCGCGCGCAGCCCCGCACTTCGCAGATCCTGGGGGAGCGGTGCGCGGGCACTTTCGCGGGCCTAACTCCCTTTGCTGGAACTCCCTTCCTACCCCCCATCCCGGGTACCCAGCCCTTCTAGTCCCTGGAAGCCTTCTTATGGCACCCTGGTCTGAGGACTGCCTGCGGAAAACCAAGCAGAAGCCCAGCTGGGGTGCCTGTATTCCTGTGTCCAGCGCGTTCTGTTTTCAGGGCACTCCTGATTGTAAACGCTCTACGGCCCTCCTAAGTGCTTGTCGACGTGTCCTAATTTGAACCGGGAGTGGGGCGAGGAGGGGAGAGGTCACCTATTTTTCCGTTTTAATCGTCCGTGGCTCTGCACCTGTCTGTCCCGGTGCACCAACTTCCGAAGGCCAGGAGCCTATCCAAGAGACAAAAAATTCAAAAACAAAAACCCCTAAGCTGCCTGGGCTGAGGGGGCGCATTTCTTGTCCCTTTGGTCCAATTGAGAGGATGAGGGCAGGAGTCCTAGGTGCAAATTCTTATTCCTAGAGGGTGACTTGTCACTTAGCCAACATAGGGGCGAGAGTCCGACCCCGCCCGGCGGCTCAACGTCTGGAGGGCAAGCAAAGGGGACCCTAACTGTATCGGGCCCCTCCTGGGTGGGTATAGAAGAAGTACAAGGAATAGATCCTAGTCGTCCGGGACCTGGTGCATGTCTAACTGGTGTCCTCCCCCTCTCTGAAACGGTTTCCTTACAAAACAGCGTCTTCCACCCACTTAGGACAAATGAAAGGAAAACTATTTTTGCTAAACAATTTTACTACAACCAAAATATGCCCTGCTTCTGCCCAAGAAGGTTGGGGGTGCTCCTGAGAGGTTTCCCAGAGCACAACCTCAGCCGCTCCCCCCTGGCACCACCTGGCCCACCTGAGTCCTGCATTCCGCGACCCAAGCGCCCTCAAAGTCTCCTATGCAGGCTCAGATCTCCAGGTTATTATCTTAAAACATCTTTAATTCTGGCTGCACGGCTACTGGCTCTAAAGTCGATTAGGTGTGCAGAGTGCAGCCAATTACTCAATACTTGACGGCTAGAATCCAAACTTCCCTTGTCGATGCCCAGTTGACTCAGGACCCAGCTCCTCAAACTGGACCAGTGGGGGATCATGGGGCCCACTCTTCCCCTGCACTCCATCTCCAGATAAAGGTCTTCAAGATCTAAGGCCAAACCGTTATGGTCGTTCTTGCCCTCTGGCTTTGCACTTGTGCCTACAGGGTGTGGGGCTGGAGTGTAAGGAGGCCGGCCTGAGCCTCCCCTCCCGGCCCAGCCCCAGGGCTCCGGGTTCCCCCAACCCTCAAGTGCCCGCCCCGCCACGCCACAGGCGGAAAGAGCGGAAAAGCCATACCTCCCCCGTTCTGGAAGGCCAGGTAGGGAAACCTCCAGACATTGCCCAGCCCCACTGCATACCCCACCATGGACAGGATGAAGTCCAGTTTGCTGGACCAGTTCCCTCGGGCCTTATTCTCATCCCCTTGCTCGTCCTCCTGGGGGCGGAAAAGCACATGGTTGGATAACAACCCCGAGTAGGTCCATCAGCAAGCAGGCCCCATTCCGCGCCTCCCTCCCAACTAAGTGGCCTTATTCTCATCCCCTTGCTCGTCCTCCTGGGGGCGGAAAAGCACATGGTTGGATAACAGCCCCGAGTAGGTCCATCAGCAAGCAGGCCCCATTCCGCGCCTCCCTCCCAACTAAGGGTTCTTCCCAGCAAGCAGGCCCCCACTTTTCAACCGAGGATGCATCGGCAAGCAGGACCCCAATTCTAAAGACTGGATGCATCTACAAGCAGGGACCTCAGCCCTCAACCCTGCACTGAGATTCTTTCAGCAAGCAGGCCCCATTCCGCGCCTCCCTCCCAACTAAGGGTTCTTCCCAGCAAGCAGGCCCCCACTTTTCAACCGAGGATGCATCGGCAAGCAGGACCCCAATTCTAAAGACTGGATGCATCTACAAGCAGGGACCTAAGCCCTCAACCCTGCACTGAGATTCTTTCAGCAAGCAGGCCCCTAAGTCTGTTCTGAAGATCTTTTTAAAACAGATCCTGAACCCCTCTTTTCCAATTCCTACAGTCAGGGCACACCAGCAAGCAGCTCTCCTGAAACCTTGAGCATGGAAGTTGATTGCAAGCAGATCCCTCTATCCCCAACCCTTCACCAAGAGTTCATTTGGCAAGCAGGCCCAACATCATGCCTAGAGTTCCCAGCAAGCAGGTTCCTAACTAACCCCACTCCCCAATAAAACCTTCACCACCACCCCTTTCTCAACCCTTTCTTTCTTTGGAGTGTATGCCAGGGCCAGAAAGAGAGCTGCAATGCCAAAGCCAGCCAGAGCACCTGCCTCACTTTCTCTAACAAAGCATACAGGCAGAGCCTGCCTGGTTAGCTAACTTAAGGGGCCATCCTTCAGCAGTGGGGCAAGGGAGATGGGCAGGAGGGAGATTTGGAGCCAAAACAAGAGAAGGGAGATATGGTAAGAGACAGGCCATCTGAAACCTTGAGTTCTGATCTAAACTTTACTACTAATCAGCTGGAAAATCCCACGCAAGCTACTTGCTCTCTCTGAGCCTCTGCATCTCTACCTGCAAAATGAGGGGCTTAGAAAAATTGTCCCCTGAGGCACCTGCCAGCTCTAGCAATCTGTGAATCTTTGAGGCTCACTTCTCCAAGCTCACACTAAGATGCTTTCTTGGGACAGTGCCTGGTTCTGGAATGCCTCAGTACTACGCAAGAAAAAAAAAAAGCTGAGGGTAAGACTGCCTCAAATGAACTTTGAAGATATTCAGGACACCTGGACCCTGCACAAAGCTTCCAGGGACTGGGCCATGCATGGCACGGTTTTTACTTCCTCAGTCACCCTCCACCTCCTATGTCCCACACTGTTCCAGGAGCCATGACGGCTAAAGCAGCAGCTTTCAGAAGGAGAGGAAGCCTTGGGGAGGGAGAAGGCGGGCTAGGTGGGTGTCACAAAGACACAATCAGAAAGATGGACAGGGGTGAAAATAAGTACCCTCAGGAACCTGGACATCTTTCACACCCTCCCTGCACTCTTCCCACACACATACCACCTCCTCTCCTAACCCCACCCTCCAGCCCTTCCAGGGCAGGGTAGGGTGGGAGTTCCAACTCCTTTTGCCGCAGTGCGGAGGTTCAGCAAGGCATGTGAAACAAATTTTCAACTCCACCTAGGTCACACTGTTGGCTACATGCTGTCAGAGGCAGTTAATACACATAGATAAACTCTCCAGAAACAGAGCCCAGAAGCAAGGTCAAGTGGGAAAGTCTTAAGTACATTCATTTCAAGTTATTCTAACAGCTGAGCTTCTGTTATGTGAACCTGTGGTTAAGTGTGAATGTGTATGTGTGTGTGTGTCTTAAGTACATTCATTTCAAGTTATTCTAACAGCTGAGCTTCTGTTATGTGAACCTGTGGTTAAGTGTGAATGTGTATGTGTGTGTGAGAGAGAGAGAGAGAGAGTACAAACACTAGAGTGACTAAGAACAGAGGGCTGTGTGAACCCTACATCTCATACAGGCACGTAATCTGGTCCAGGCTCCCACAGTGGGACACGTGCTTAGCCCCTGAGCCCAGGGGAGGAGAGAAGATAGCAGAAAGACAGGCAATGGGAAGGGAAGGGCTGAAGTGGGTGAAACAGAAGAGAAGAAACAAGAGCTCAGAGAAGGAAGGAGAAACTGAAGGGAAATGGAAGAAAACAAAAGCCTGTAGGGGAGAGGGGCCAGCAGCAATAGTTGCCTCGATTCATAACCAGGAACCGGGATTCGCTCTATGGGTTTTCAATCATGACTGGTTGAGTGGTAAAGGATCGAATGCAAGGATGGATCCAAGTTTGTGGCAAACGAAGCTTATATAATTGAGAGAGGTCCACTTTAGGAGGAAAAAAAATACAAAATTATGATGGCAAAATTAGATCTCAGGTTTTGGAAGGGCCCAGACAAAAGATAGGCCCTAAATCTTGCACTTCAGTAGCCTTGTGTAAACCCACTTCTATCAAGCAGGTTATCAAGGGATAAACAGGTAACCCGCAGTGTAAAGGCTACAGAAATTAAACTATTGTCCCCGTTTCCCCCGCCCCTCGGGTTTTCTTCGTATGTTCTTTTTTCTTTTAATTAAGTTTGTTTGTTTTAAAGAGAAGACTCAGTCATTGGCAGGAGGGGGAGTCCTTTCTACATAAAGGGGTGGACTCTGTCTGCCTCAATTCCATAATGGGTCTGCAACCTGCATTTCTGCTACCTCCAAGGCTGGTAGGGACAGGTAGCGGTCCCTCTGGCAGGGTCACTGCAGCCCTCACGCCCTGAACTGGCGACCCCAGCGCAGTGCGAGCTTCCGAAGCCCCGAAGCTACCTCCCGCATACACCACCTGGCACTGCCAACCGTTCTCCCCATCAGCACACGTGCACCCGCCACGGCCTGGCTCACCTCGGTGCCGGCGAGAGCGACCTGCTTACCTGGGTGGCAGCGGTGGCCACGCTGCCCGGGAGCACGGACGTGATTCCATCCGTGCCCAGCACCACGGTGCTCTGGCTCATGTTCACCCAGCCCACGGCTGGCGTATTGTTCCTTTCCAGGATGCCCTTGCCCACACTCACGTTCGCATCCCCCTCATGGCCGCGCAGAGCCGGGATCTTGCACTGCAGCGCGTTGCCGGGCCCGGTGCCCCCAGAAGGGAGGGAGGCCTGCACGCCGTGCGCCTCGCTTAAGTCCCGCAGAGCCGCCGAGACCGCCTGCGCCCGCTGGCTACTGAGTTTGCAAGACCCCACTACCGACCGCTCGGCCTCGCAGGCTCGCGCATCCGCGGGTACGAAAGTTTGGGCGCCAGTGGAAGCGGACCTGGGCACACGTGGCGGTGGCGCGGTAGCCGCCGCGGGAAGCTCCTGCTCCGGGCTCGTCCTAGGAGCGCAAGGACCATGTGGGTGGCCCAGCGCCGCCGCCGCCGCCGCCTCCAGGCTGTTAGCTGCTGGTTGTTTATTCATTTCTTTGGGAGCACTGCAATCCTGCAAACACAACGTCAAGTTCGTGCAAAAAATATAAATAAAGTCATAGCAGCTTTTAAAATACCGATATCAACATATGGAGACGTTCAAACTCAGGTCCAGACAATATCTGGAGGAGCAAATTGGAACCAGGATTTTTTTTTCTTCCCCCCAGAAAGACTGCAATCAGTATGTCTCAATTTGCCTGTCTCGTCAATAACCAGATGACATAAAGAAGCTAATATTCCCTCCCTGATGGAAGATGAACTAAGAAAAGAGGCAGAAATGGGTTTTGGAGGGGGTAAAAGGAATGGGTGAAAATAGCCCTACAGCCATGAGCTCCCCGCCCTCTTTGAGTTTCAGATCACGGCCGTGGGGTGCCCGCGTCCCCATCACCATTGTAGAAAGATTCTTTAATTTTCCGCCCCATTTCCTTTGTCATTCAACAATGCACATTGCTTTTTTTTTTTTTTTTTTTCCCCGCGATAGACAAGCTGTGGCCACAAAGCTGATGCCCTGGCACCTGCGAGCGCTTGAGGCCAAATCGGCTGTGCAAATCCCAGCTCTCCAAAATCCACTCCTGCATGCCAGGTAGCAAAGGCAAAGATAAGGATCATGATCAAAATACCAACACACACAAAAAACCCACAACAACAATAAAACAAACTTAAAATGCAAGGTAGCAACAGGGTTTGGTATCTTACACAGCCTACATTCATTCACACCCAGACTGCCAAAAATGTAAAAGAGAACATGCGAAGCTTTTTTCTTTTTCTTAAGGCGTAATTATTCATATGAGTCTAATATCCTTCACACTCCTACCCTTGCTTGGGGACAAAAACTCGCGACTAATTCTCATTTGCTTTCTCCTAATTTAGTTTCAAATGAAAATAACTGCCAGCGGTGGTTTTTCCTTCCGCTTCGTCCCCTCATGTTATCTTCCAAGGCTTCCTAAACATTAGCATCAATAATTATTATACCGTAAGAACAATCATATCACCTTCACTTCAACCACATGCCTCTCATTAACTCCCTTTCACAAATGCACAGATCAAAAGTCCTTAATTTGCAAATTCAAGTACCTCAGCTCCAGCCATCACTACTGTCTCAATAGTCGCTAGGACCCAGAGCCACTCGCCTCTGTATATGCGTCTGGCTTTTCAGCACCGAGGACAGTGCCCCAAACCGCGTTTGGGGGAGCCACCGCCAACCTCTCACCCCTACAGTCTAGGAAATCTATTTCCGACCTCAGGTGCTACAAGTACAAATACCTACTGCTTCGAGAATTATTCTCCCTGCTCTTTCTCCCACCATCCCCCGTTCAATGCACAGACAATTCAAAAAGAAATATACAAAACGAATCTGACCTCCCTATCCTCGGGCCCCCTTTCCTCTTAAAAGAACAAAAGCAAGCACTCACCATGTCTGACACTGGCAACAGATTCAACCGGTACAGAGTGAAACCCAGTAACGGCAAGACTGGGTTTGGCTCTGGCAAGAGAGGCGCTTTCTATATCTCCTTGGGAAAGGCCGGGTTTGCGTCAGTGCAAAGCAAGGTGCCCTTCGTTTGACATTTTCTTGATAATACAAGTTGGATAAATCATTACCCCCTTGGATTCGAGTTTTAAAGAGACAACAACCTAGAGTACGCTGGGCAGTTGTCACTCGGGAGGGAGGGGGTTGCGTGTTTGGCGTGACTCATGTGGGGTTGATTACTAAGCCGAAGCTGGCGGGAGAGGACGACAGAAGTTTGCCTCCTCCTAATTAAGGCAAACATGGGAGGGACACGTCCCACTGCACCCAAGGCAAGGCGCGGGGGGGGGGGGGGGGGGGGGGGGGGGGGGGGGGGCGAATAGAGGGTGTTAAATCACTGTATGTCTTTCTCTTCCACTAGATTCCATTGCTGTCTCCCTGAATCTTCAGCGGATTCCGCAGTATTACTCCAGTAGCGATCGAAGATCTGCACGTAGCCCCATAGCTCTGCGATAGCTGATGCAGGCTCGGTCCTGAATTTGCAAGGGTGACCCACCTTGCATATATGCGGACTTCGGGTTCTCACATCCGTACTCTCCCAGACAACGAGTTTTGGAGGGATCCTGAGTTTTCGCTTAGAACCTGAAATCTAGTATTTGCATTCCTATTTTATCTCTATTAACACCATTAAAATAAAATCCTGAGTATAATTGACTGTTATTATATTTTTAAAGCTCTTCTAAAAATGTTTTAGAGAAATAAAAAAGAAATTATTTTCAGCACTGACCTGGTTCTAAGGCCACTTTCAAAGTCAAGGAAAACCCATTCTTTCTCCATAGCCCCCTTAATAAAAATCCACCAGAGCCAGGCCTGATTTGGAAGCTCGAGGTCTTAGAAAACCCTCCAAATCAGGATCCGCTGCAACGAGGAGGCAGGGCTGGCCATCGGGGAAGCCATAGGAGGACGTTCAACCACACTGCGGCGAGGGTGGGGTGTAGGGGGTGACCGTGGCGACAAAAAGATGAACTTTCCTGTTAGTACAAAGCAACGGCTATAATCACAAGAAAGGGAGCACTCCTTTACAAAGAAGATGTAGTTTGGAGACTAGAAGGGGATTCGCAGCAAAATGCTTCCCTTCTCTCCCATCTTGCCGGTCTAGCTCGGGGAATCCCTGGCCTCGGGGTTGAGGAACTACGGAAAGCACTTTTTCCTTTCCCTGCTGCCCGCAGCCCGGCCCACTGCCTCCGGGTCCGCGCTGTCACACTCGGCTGGGCCGTTCCCACGCGGCGGGAGGACAATGCCGAGGCGGCCGCAGGCGCAGGCTGCGGCGGCAGATTGCAGTGGGCGCCGGGGGCGCCGCTGAGCCCCCTCCCGTCCCCTCCCGAGATGGCCCAGCGCGCTCCGATGCCTCCCCTCGCTGATTCTCCCGCCTGGCCCCTCCGAGCGCAGCCGGCTGGGGACACACAGTCTGCATTATTTGGCGGTGGGGGAAGGAATGTGGATAAGTTCCCCAAGGAGACCTTCCTTTCGAGCCGTCTTGCGGGTTTCACGCCACTTTTTATCGTTGTTTTGAGCCATCACCTATGGACACCTCAATATTGAACCACTGTGCCAGGGCTTTCCATGAATTATACCATTTAGCCATGGCAACAGCCTTTGAGAAACTACCAGTTTTAAAGCTGGGGAAACTGAGGCTCAGAAAGTCGCTTTGGAATCCTGGAGAAACCCTCAATCACCGCCGTCGGGGGGTCCAGTCACACTGTCCCGGGGCCCGCTGGGCGAGGTGGGGGAGGGGTAAGGGGGGGGCTGTGATGGGCTCTGGCTGGAGGCGGGTCAGGTGAGCAGGGGGGCTGAGACTCCCGCAGGTGCTCCGAATGCTCTTGGCGCCACGGGGAAGCGACGGCGGAGGGGGACCGCCAAGCTCTTTTTCCGGAACTACCTCAGTTTCCAAGAAGGGGCCAGACTGGGATGCGAGAACTGCAGAGGGCAGGCCTGGCAAGCGAACGGAACCACGAGGCGCGCTCTTAGGTCCATGCAGGCCTCTCTCTGCGGACCCTGGGCCGCCTTCTGCGAGGGACAGTCACGACTTTGAAAGACGCTGGCCAGTTTCCCAATTTGCATTTGAGCAGCCCAGGCAAAGGGCAGCGTGCGAGTAGAACGTCCCCCCCGGAGCCCACGGACGTCCCTGGCCCGGGAGGGAGGGGGAGAACGGCGCAGAGGCGGCGGAGTCCTGCCGGCCTTCTCGACTCCCCCAGCTGCGGCCCTGGGCAGGAGTGACGCCCTGCGGCCCCGCTCAGGCCCGAGGCCTGACGTTCCGTCCGCTGGCTCGTCTCGGCCAAGTGCGCACTTGGGGTCCCGCGTGGGGCCCGCCGCGCGTCAGGCCCTGCGGAGGCTGGTGACGCGCAGGGGAGGCTGCGAGGGCGGAGGAGGGGTTGGGGGAGGCGCTGCTCGGGCTCCCCACCTCCCGACACTTCCCGCCGCAAGATCTCGAAAGGAGGGGCAGCTTGGAGAGTGGAGGGAGGGGCTGAAGACGAGAGGTCTGGAGGGGTCGCTCTGAGGCCAACGCGGGGGCGGAGTGGCGGGCACCC